AAATCCCCTCAGGATTTATCCTGAGATCCTGTACCTCAGATTGTAGAACCTTTATCAGTGCAGCCATGTGGATGAGTCACGGCCATTGCTTGGCCAATGTTGAGCACAGGGCTTTTGGAAACACTCCCTTTACCAACTTACTCCTTGTGAAACGGGGTCCCAGTGACCCTCAGGAACAAACTGTGCCTTAATAAGTAAGTACTGGGTACACAGTAAGTTCAGTACCCGGATAATGCAGAGCAATGAGCTGGAGGCAAAGAGGACTGTCTGCCCTGCTACTTCATCCAGCTACTCAGGACAAGAGTCAGAGCCGGCAGAGCCTAGTCTGCTCAGTGTCTGCTTATGGAGCCAGGCAGGACATTCTCGTCTCTCCCCCAGCTCACTGCATCCCAGTCCCCATGGTTTCTTTCCCATCCATAGGTGTCTATATACAGTGTACGCCTATGTACCACAGTTGGGGGTTGTTACTCATTGTCTGAGTCCATCCCCACGGAATCTGTGTCTGGATGATGTGCAAATGACTGTGGCATTCACAGAATGCCTGCCTATGAATGTGGAAGCCGGAGGTGGAGGAACGGTTAGAAAGGTGGTCCTCACTTGGCCTGGGCTTGCAAGTTCAGGGTTAGGCCCTGGACCTATGACACCATCAGCAGGTTCCTTCATCCCCCTCTACCTGCCCAAATTCCCCATATTTCCCACCAAAAGAGGCTCATCAGAGCAGGGGCTCCTTGCCAGGCTATGCACCCTCTCTCCAGAAGGGGGCAGCAATTTAATTTAAAGTAGCTCAGTCTAAGGGCAGAAGCTGAACTTGAGCATTCACTGTGTGAGCGAGGGGTTACCTGCTTGGTGCACAGTCAGTGCCCAGGCAGAGGCGGAGGTGGGGAGGTGACACAGAGCCATCACTGGAGTCCTTGGTCAGCTGCCAAAGGCAGTTCCTGAACCTTTGTCCTGATGCTGGATGGAGGTAAAGGACCAGGACCAGGACCAGGACCAGTCCCATCCCTATAGCTCAAAAGCAGTCAAAGCATGTCAGAGGTCAGAGAAAGCCTGGCTTTGGTGGTCTTAGCCCAGACCCATGTGAGTCTGGGTCAGTTATTACCCCTTCAGCCCTTCCTTTCTTCTCCAAAATCTCAACAAGAAGAGTGCTTAGCTAAACTTCAGGACAAACCATTCTGTAGCCATCTGGAGGGATTCCTCACAGAAAGAGCTCGTCTCTGTCCCTGAAACCTGCCACTTGCAACAGTGAAGAGTACCAGTGTGCAGATATGGCTGAGCTTGACCATGCTTATGGGACAATACTGTTGCTGCCAATGTCCAACACTGGGTCTTCTTTCAAAACTCTTTATTGCCAATAGTCACTGACCCCTTATCATTGTGTACCAAGTGCTGTTCTGGAACTCAGAGTAGGACAGACAGGGGTAAAAGCCTCTGGCCAAGAGAGGTGCAGACAACTGCAAACTCTCCAGGGAAAGATACCTTGGGGGCTAGCAGAGGTGAGGTGGGGCTGACATAGCTTACATGGGATCATAAAGTAGGGTCTTCTGAGGTTGTGAGGTTTCAGTTGCTCAGGTGAAGTGAGCGTAGGCACCAGGCAAAATCATGTGACCGAAGTAGGAACTGTGTGGAGCAGATCAGGAGCCATGAAGTAGTAGAGGATGAGCCCAGAGTATGGGAAGGGCCAGACCAGGTATGATCTTGTTGGCCACAGTGGAGAATTGGGGTAGGGGCAGAGTCTCGCTGTGTAGTTCAGGCTGGCCTTAAACTCACTATGTAGCCCAGGCTGTCACTGAACTTTGCCTTAGCCTCCTGAGGGCTGGAATTATAGGTGTGTACCACCACACCCAGCCACAGTGGATTCTAAACTTCATTTTGCGCCTGTTCTTTATGCCATCTGAGTCTCAAATGAGCCCTAGGAGGGGTCGGGGAGCTTCCCAGGTTAACATTTAAGCTACAACATGTGGGAATTCCCTTACAGAGAAACACGGGGGCTGCCCACCAGATGATAAGCCCTGCCTCTCAGTGCCTGACCAGTGCACAGGTGACAGCCAGTGTCCCTCAGGCAAGAAGTGCTGTTCCCAAGCTTGTTTCCGCCAGTGTGTTCCCAGGGTCTCAGGTAAGTGCACCATGCTGACAACCTGAGCCCCAAGCCCCAAGCCCCAATCCTCAAGGCTGGCAGGAACAGGCAGAACTCAGCCAGGCCCTTCTGTTGCAGTAAAGCCAGGCAGGTGCCCTAAGGACCAACTGCGCTGCCTCAGCCCTGTGAAGCACCTGTGTTCCCAGGACTTTGACTGCTCTCGTGAGAAACGGTGTTGCCCAACTGCCTGTGGCCGGGACTGCCGAAATCCTGTCAGAGGTACAACTCCTAGGGTACAGAGGTCCCTCCAGAGCAACAGCTCAGAGATGACTTTCCAGCTCAACCACCTTGGCAGGATAAGACACCAAAAGCTTAGGCATCCAAGGACTGTGTAAAGGATTAGGGTGGGTGGAGTCTCATTAGGATAGCAGAGCAATTGGGGATTTTCAGTCTTCTTATGGAATGCATTGCATGCCCTGAACCACATCCCTAAACTGCTCTGGGCAGCTGACTCCCTTTGGAGGAGGCTGGAGTATCCTCCCTTAGCGATTAGTGCTAGCTCCAGGGACGTTCAACCCTGGAACCCAGACTCCTGAGTGAAAGAGCGGGTAACCTTCTTGTTTTCTCTCTTCTCAGGCTAATTCTTTGGATCATGGCTCTGCACCCCAACAGCAAGAGCCAAGGACCTGGACACCCAAAAAGCATTATCTCTGTCAGGGTCCAACCAGATAATCACTGACCCACAGTAACTTCCCTGCGACACATTTGTCATGGCTTCTCCTCCTGGGGGTCAAGGTCCATAGCCTGACCCACAAGGCATTCCTCTGTATCACCCTGGGACCGCATACCACTGTTGTGCTGAGCTTCCCACCATTAGAGTACCTATTTTCATATCTCTCTGTATATTCTGTTTCCTTCATCTAAAATGCACAACTCAGGTGAGCCCCTGTTTGTAGAGCCCAGAACCCAGAACACAGGTCCTAGCAGAATCTCTAAACATCAGGCCTCTCACACAAACTTTTACAATTTCCCTCTCCTGCAAAATAGCACTGTCACATGTTGCCTGCCTATACTGCTGTTTATTTAATGCTTCACTTTAAATGATTCACTTTTGCATGTAGCTGTGTTTCAACAGAAAATGATACTCAAGATCACTGGCCACAAATAGAATGTAATTGTAAAAAGAGATGCAATAAAAACAGCTCAGTTCCATTAAATTAAATCATATCCAATTATTAAACTCTAGCTGGATAAGGCCATGTGCCAAGACTGACTGCCCCCTTTATACATGGAAATTAGCAAGGGTTCAAGAGATGTCAAAGATGCAAAGCTCTAAACTGGGACTTCTTACCTGATTCAATCAGGATCGAAAAGAAAATACCTATGTTGCTTCAAGAGTCAGTGTTATAGCATGTTACATCCAAATAATCACCAGCATCATTTTGGATTGCCACCAGTTTGGGAAATGTTTGAGCAACTGGGATGCCACGTTAATAGTGAATCTGTCCCTATGTTGAGCTACGCCTCACTGGCCTCAGTTCCCCCAGGGCACAGTCTGTAGTCAGCGCTAAAGTGTTTTTTTTTTAAATCTTTTTGTATTTTAGGGAAGGGTCTATGGGGTGATCAGGCTCTCACTACTAGATCGGACTCCTAGTGATCCTCCTGTTTACAGCCTCCCAAGAGCTGGGATTACAGACGTACCATGCCCAGTCTCAATTGCCAGCTCAGGGTGCCCACGGGGCGGGGCTAAAGTGTTTCTTTTGTGGACAAAGGTCAGTGAAGGAATGACAAACATTCCAAAGACATCCCTGGACCCAAACATCTGCATTCCTCACTCTCCCTCCCCACCATCAATTGTCTTGGGAAGGGATGGAAGCAAGCACACTCCCCCTGCTTTCTTTGTCCCGCTGTAGACTCAAGCATTGTATGGTTAACTGGAGATGAACTCGAGGTCCTGAGCCTCCTTTCCCTCCTCTCCTAACCTGTGTGTGATTCGGCAGTCCTTCACCACTCCAGGGCTGTTTGCCCTGGGAGAAGGAAAGAATTCTAGCTCCTCCCTAGTTGCCAATATCCTCCTCAGGGGAGTCAAATGCCTGAAGGGTTGACTCAGAGTAGCAAATGCTAATTAAGTGGATACAAAGTGAGGCCTGGAGAGGAAGAAAGGGTTCTCTGGGAGTTCCAGGGCCTTGGTTTCCCCGACTACAACCCTGGGAACTCACAGGTAATATAGAGGACTTTTTTTTTCCGGTACCAGGGATTGAACTCAGGACCTTGCACTTACCAGGCAGGCGCTTATGCCCCTGAGCTATATCCCCGGCCCGAATATTTTATTCTTTGCCCACAATTGCCGCTTCCCGGGCACGTCTCCTAGAGGAGAGAGTATATCCCTGACCCAGCTATTTGGCACTTGGCTAAGATCTTGTTCAAGCTAATGGGCAAGCGACTGGTGCCAGGCAGCAGCCTCCTCAGAGATTCTGGCGTCCGTCTCCAGAAGGGCTCGCTCAGAAGCTGCTGGTCACAGCCCCCGAGACACACAGGGTAGCCCCGAATCTGAGCTGGCCCAGCCAAGCCTCAGATTTGCATGACAGAAATAAATAGTTGTGGTAAGAAGCCTCGGAGCTCTGGAGCTGTGGGTCATAGATTCATCACAGTAAGTGCCTGACTAATGCTGATTATCAGTCCAAGGTAACCACCACCCTACACCTCCCATTACAAAACATCGTTCATCCATCCACCCCACAGCCCTGAGAAAGGCTGGTAGTGTCATCCGCATCCACAGTGAAGCAACAGTGGCACTGGAACAAGTGCTAGCTCCAGACCCCTTTGGGAGAAGCGGTAGTGCCAGGATGATATACCACTTCTTTGTAAATACTAATAAAACCAAAGAGCTAACAATTATAGATGTTATCCTACACCAGGCATCCCTTTAATTGCTTACATGTATGACTTCATTAAATCCTCATAGCTGTAGGTAGGCTTTATGATTTTCCCCATTTCACACAGGAGGAAAACTGAGGCAAAAAGAAATTAATCTGGTCAAAATCATACAACTTGTAAGTAGTAAAACTAGGATTCAGCTTCAAAAGCCTGATCCCAAACTTCATATTCTATCAAGTATGCTAATTATATGAGCTGGAGATCTTTTTCCAGCTTTAACAACTCAACTTCCACATCTCAGAAATAGGGCTTGCCAGGCCCCACGCAGGCTCAGTTTTAGATAGCTGGAACCCAGGCCTGTAGGTGGAGAGCTTATTGCCCCAGATTTCTTTCCTGAAGGGCACAAAAAGGAAAGCTCAGGGGAAACTTGAACTAGTTAAAACTTAGCTCCCAGCTCTGTCCTCACTGATTCCTTTGGCAAACTCCAGCCTTGTCTTCCCCCTCACCTAGTCAATAAATGTTTGCTAAGCACTTAACATGGCCTCCAGGCTGTGCCTTCACAGAGCTCAGGTCTCAGAGATGAGTTGAAACCCAAGCCAGAGACCTGTGTGACATTCACCAGGTAGGCAGAAACTAGGAGTCTACGGGAGGCCAGAAGGGACCTAACAGCGTGGACACCAGATACGATTCCTACTAGAGGTGTTGTCCATCTGGGCTGACAGAAAATGATATTTTTCTCTGCTATGAGTCTGTTTCTATTCCCACGGCTAAATTAAATGCTACCTGATACTCTGCGGAAAGAAAGGGCAAGAAGCATTTTTCAGGAGGAGGAAACAGCATGTTCTCATCCTCTCCTCACTCCTGAAAGAGAGAGCTTATTTCACTCTACAGATGAGGGAGGCACACGATCAGGAAGAGACACCTGGCCCAAAGTCACACAGGACTTCGGTGGCAAAAACAGGATGCTATGTATTTGTTATTTCTTACTTTGTAACAAATTACAAAATGACTTTTAGTGGCTTTAAAACAACCCATATTGTGCTGAGGAGATCACTCAGTGGTCTAAATGCCCACCTGGCAAGGCAAGGACCTGAGTTCAATCGCTGGTACCACATGCTATGCCAGCCCCTGAATTCCGGACTCGTTCACCGAAATCCTGCATCAAATAAGAAAATTACTGGGCTGGAGAGATGGCTCAGTGGTCTAAAGCACCTACTTGAAACAAGCTTGGC